TATATATATAAGTATATACTTATATACTTATATATATAAGTATTTAAGTAATATATAAGTATATTTTCATCTAAATATTAGGAATTATATTTATAAGTATATTTACTTGACATTAGAGATCTAAACTTATGAGTTATATGTTTGAAAAAAGAGATAAGCATATCTAAATCATGTTTTCTATTTTTCTTTCCCATATTTAATTTGCAAATGGAAAAACTGCATGATACTCATAGAAATCTTTTCATCATCAATGTTGTAGGAACATTGTGGAATATTTAAAATGGACTTGGAACAGATTATAAAACTTTCTATTTTCTAGAACCCACTTATACTCACAATATGAACTATTATCCTAAAATTACTCTCATTTYCTTAACACTAATTCTTCTTAATGATATCAGTATTCCCAAATTGTTTCCACTGAAGTGACTACATGCCATTATTTCTATCTTAAACAGATATGATTGTTAATCACCAGTACATTTGTGAAGGAAATTGGAAGTCATCTACAGATTTATCAGATAATAGGAACTTTGCCACAGAAGAATAATTTAGGTAAAGTGCTTTCTACAAAGCACATAAAAATGGAAAGTGAAAAGGTTATTTCTAGGTCTATTAACCAAAAAAGAGTTCCGTAAGGGCTTACAATAAATTCTTGATGAAAAATTTAAAAACAAGCTCAAAATCAGAATTCTAAGCTTGCTGCAAACAGAGAACTTAATAGCTACACTTTTATCACATATACATGCCTCTAACTTTGTGCACCGGTGTTTTGACTTCTTTCATGTATATGTCCAATAAGTGATTAGGAAAGATAAGTTTTGTGTAATCAGAACATTATTATTATGTTGAAATTAATATTTTATAACTTTATTTGAAGAAAACTTAATTCCATATTTAAAAAAAAMCAAAATAACATTAGAGTAATAAATAAAGGAAAGGAAACTAAATATAATGAAATATCTTATGTATCTTATCTCATTTACTACTTAACACAAACGGGTGGCACGATTATAGGTTTATTTCCATTCTGTATTCTAGAGCATCAAAGTGGAACTGGAAATTGTCCTCAGTGCTATCAACTCTCTAATGCCACATGCTTTCTTGACAGAGGGAAAGCCACTTGAGGAAGTTATTTTCTGGTGTTTGTAGTTCCAGTTTCCTTATTAGGTTTTCCATTTCTTTTAAGGAGGAGCTAACCTGGTATCATGTGGTGGGTCTGGTTATGTCAGATTCTGGAATACATTTAAGAAACAACTTCTGGCTGAGTTTTTGGCCCACAGAGGAGCCAGATCCATTATTATGTCTATTGATAAACTGAACCGATACCTTACCACAGGAGATCTTGATGGATGTTTGAAAATCTGGAATATAGAGGTAAATTGAAATTATTTTCCCATTGTTTTTGATTGCCTCTAGTTGCAGAAAACAAAAATTTAATAAAATTATATTCAATCATATGGATTGGGTCTTGTCTGTTTCTTAAAGGAAGAAATACTCAAGTTTTGAGTATTTTAAAGAAAGCACGTACATTGARCAGAGACTTCTTTTAAACAAGTAATTGGGAAAGCCAGCTTTTTCTCAGTATTGGAAAGCTGTTAATATATAGTCAAGTCAAACACCCAATTTAGTAATGCAATTTTGTCAGCAACGTACTGCAGCATCATTTAAATATAATAATTAGGTGATACTTTATTTGGAATGAGATTATAAATGTAATTTAGAAGTACTGGAACTTTAACTAATATTATTGCCATCATGAGCTAGTTTGGTTTTTCTTTTTTTAATCACTGATTACATGTTCAGTTTTTGAATAGCATTATAATATTATGTAATATGTGATTAACAATACAAAGTAAAGCTCCTCTCTATCAAATTACTCTTCATCTTTTTCTTTCCATTCTCTTCCCTGTCTTCTTCTACTTCCCAAGTCAATGAAGTGAGAAGCTGTTTTTTTTTTTTAATGTTAATGCCATTTTTCTACCCTCTGATATCATGAACTCTCTTTTGCATTTGGGATCACAGATGGTTATTATCAAATATACATTTTTCATTTTTGTATCAGGCTTTAGAACAAGTGCTATGCCATTTTGAGCTAATATTTGGATTTTTACAGTTCTGAAATTTGTTTTTTTCAGGACTACTGTCTTAATTCCAGTGAGAACAAAGTCACACAACCCCCAATGCTAATAAGATCATTCCAACCTCATGAGGACCGGATAACTTCCTTGGAGGTTTGTGAGCGAGGTGGCCATCTACTGATTGTCTCCTCCTCTGCAGACTGCAGCATTTGTGTGACTGGAATCTGCAATGCTCCTATTTGGATCTTTGGTCAGGTAGAAATACTGTTCCTTTCTTATTGGAATATTTACTTGGCATTCAATATGAACTTGGGATGATTTCCATTTGAATCTTACCAGTCTTGAAAGAACTGACCTAACATTTCTGAAGCTCTAGTTCCAGGCATCTCTTATCCTGTCTACCATTAGATGCAGTAGTTCCACCAAATAGAGGACACTAGAGACATGGAAAGACATATTTAAAGACATGTTTAGTACGACTCAAAATATTTTAGGATTTCTGAGAAATTTTTCTTTTCTAAAATACATAAATTCAAGTTCAAGATTTAGTAAAAATATAATATGGGGCTGGAGTTGTAGCTCAGTGGTAGAGAGCTCGCCTCGCACATCTGAGGCACTGCATTCGATTCCCAGCACCATATATAAATAAKCAAATAAAATAAAGGTCACCAACAACTAAAAAAATTAATATCTGTAAAATATGGATAAAATTAACATTATCATTAGGCAGGTGATTCTGGCTATCAAATARTAATAAAGGTAATAATCAGATATGGAACATTTTGGAAAAAGACAAATCTCCCTATTCATTTCCTGGTTTATTTTTTCAAATGTAAKAGTTAATATTTACTGGGTGTTTTGTGTGTACTCAGAATATCTAAGATCTTTACATGAATTATTTCTTTTAATTTTCACAATGGTCCACTCCATGAGGGTAGAGGTTCCATTATTTCTATTATATGGATAACAAGACAGAGTCACAGAGAGTTATAGTGAATTCTCAGCTCAAATAAGCTCATGATGGCYGACTTTTGCCCTTTTACCCATGCTGACTCACTTTAGAGCATATGCTTTTAACCCTTTCCTTCCATGAAATTAAGGTCTACTTGTTCCTGACTGAAATAAAATAGAAGTGGGAGGCGTGGAAGAAAGGGAATATTCATTGTTTCATATTTTTTGTTCTTGTTTTCATGGGGGCTYTGTTCCTGTTCCCTTTGTACTATGGGAACATAATATATCTGGCTGGTTTTAACCAGTACTGTTCAAACATGTTGGAGTGAGTTTAAGCTGAAACCTTGTTCTGTTCGGCCAGCTAATTTGGTTCTTTTCAGTGGCCTCATGTGCCCATATCATGCTGTGAGAGTACCTGATTCTCTTAGTGTTGGAAGAAAAGCTTTGATGTTTCTGTATTGGTGAAGTCAGYTTGCTAATGTCAATCTGTGCTGAAAGAATTCTCTGCAACCCTTTAGGACATAGAACATTATGATAAATCAGAAAATAGTCTAGGGAGGTGGACCTGTGTTTGGCTGAGCAGTGTGGGAGTCTCCRTGTAACACTTGTGAGCTGTATCAGTGTCTTCTACTCTATAAATAAGGCAAGTGCTAGACTTTTCTCAATCAGGAAAAACAGCAGCTGAGTGGAAGCTCAAAGGGTGTGTGGGTAGGTGTGTGGTGGATGAGATGAGTGGGACATGACTGTTAATCTGCGTAGGAGAGAAGTCGGAAGCCTGCTTCTGGCAATTGAAAAAGTCCATGTAACGCTGATGCTGGCAGACAGCCACAGGGCTCTGGAAAGACAYGAGGGGGAGTTTGAATGACAGGTCAAGAAATGAAGTGTCACCAAGTGGGTGAGGTCTGGTGTATCCATCCCTTAGATGGGTTGAAACAAAAAATAAGACCATGCCTAGGTAAGGGTAACATATAAACTGTGCCTACCAAATGCAATCTGTTCCTAAATTTTAACTTAATTAAGAAATGTGTCCTAGTTAAACTATTCATTTTTATGTCATTGGTATTTCATAACAGGGGTGAGGATGGTTTATCCATGATACACATTTATCCCAGAAAACTGGGATTGTGGGAYAAAAGGAAATCAGTTGAGTGCAATTCTTCAGTGCCCTTCCTGAAGTCCTAAGTACTGKTGTGTAGCACTGATTGTATACTGGTAACTCCTCATCAGATCATTAGGTTTTTGTTTGTTTGCTTGCTTTCTTTTTTTTTTTAATATGAAGGACTTCATCCTCCAGAATCCTTTATAAATTATAAATAGTGCCTTTTCCCCCTTCTAATTGACAGGAGTAGAGCCACAAGAGCTGCATCATTTTGGAACCATGAGGCTGACAAAGCTGAGGACTCTGGGCTTTCTTGTCCCTTCTGCTTGAGACTTTTGATTTTATTTTAAAGAACGATTCACTTTTGTCAAGCTGCCTTGAATATGGGTACTGCTAGTTTCAAGGGGTAAGGGAAAGAGGGGAGGGGAGAGGAAGGAGAAAGGAAGGAAAGAGAAGGTCGTCAAGGGAAGAGTCAGTGGAAAAAAAAAGAGAAGGGAGGAGGGGGACAGAGAAGGGGAGGAGAAGGAAGGATGTGGAGAGGAGGGGATGAGTGAACAGGTACTGGAAAATAGCAACAGCGAATGTCTGGCTCATGAGGAATAAGAAAAGAAATCCTTTACAGAAAGAAAACATTATGGAAGACAAACCCAAGAACATAGATAAGGAGGAGAAGGGGCTCAATGAGTAAAAATCATAGGATCAGAATAATTCTTCCTGAACAAATTCCATCTGTACAATGTAGCGACTGACTGACTCCTGCCCACACTTGAGTGTAGCATTTGTCTTTCAGTTGAATTAATACGGATCTAGTAGTAATGAATACAGGGCAAGCAATAAAGTATTTTGATTTCCTACCTTGACTTAATCTCCCAATCACACGCAATCTGATTAAAGGATTTAAAATTTATTGCAATGCGATTTCATATACTTCATGAAAAAAGATTTAAAAAAATAACTTTGAATCGCTTTTGTGACATAGCTCTTGATCTTTGGCTAGTTTTCAAGTTAGATTTTTAAAAGTAAGTGCTATGGCATGGCTATTTCTAGARCTGAAGAAACAGGGTGATGATGATTTATCCTTGAATACACATTTATCCCAGGAAGCTGGCAGATGATGATGGGATAAGAAGTAATTAGATGATGCCTGCAATTCTTTAGTACCCTTCTGTAAGCACTAACTGCTGTTTGTGCTGGGCAGAGTTTATCTACTGGTACCTCTCCTCATCAAATTGATTTTATGGCCAGGGACTTTGGCTATGCCTGCTCACTTAGTGCTTGCAATTTGAATTAAACATAAAGCAATGTCATGTAAAGATAAAAGATTTCTTYTCTTGAAAAAGAGCATATGTCACTCCCTGAGAGTTATTATGGCCCCTGTATTAGTCTGCTTTCTGTTATTAAAATGACATATCTAGAGTTAGGTAATTTTCAAAGAATAATGGTTTATTAAGCTCAGAGTTTGGGAGGTTGAAAGCTTAAACAGCATGGTTTTGATAAAGGCCCTGGCTTTACCACTTCATGGAAGATGACATTAGAGATGTAGGAGCCACTGTGGGATGGAGAGGTCACAAGGCAGGTGGGATAGGAAGCCAGAGAGCTGGGAAGGCCTGCTGAAAAGACAATAAGGAACTATAGGCTTGGTTCAACACTCTACTTCAATATAGCCACACTGGGGACCAAACATCTACCACATGAATTCTTGGAGGACACAGTGTGACTATTTTCACATCATCACAGCCTCTTTCACATGAGTGACTTACTTTGAAATTGAGTGTAGTCCCTACTCTTCCCTATTGCTTTTGAATACAGAGGCCAAATTTAATTTGCTATTTATTATGTATTTATTCTATGAAGATCAGTTCACACATTGACATTATCTCCCTGCCCTTACAGGCATTTTACTTTACTGAAGACAAATGCTGAAGACAAACTCATCAGTTGGAAGGCTAGTCAAATATCCTTGGAGTGCCTAATGCTTCTCTTCTAACACATAGGCAGTGTTCAATGGTGCATTCCTGTGTGTACAATGTGAATTGATACAAGATAAGGAAGTTGGTCTTGTATTTAAAATATGAAAGAGCTTGTCAGTGTGAAACTTTTGCTAGATGGGTGCATATTAAGAATTATTGGCAAAATCTGATATGTGAAAACTATCATGTAACACATGTTTTTCTGGGAAAAAATTAATACTTAGATTGTATTTTGAGGCTCTCGAGAAAGTAGTGTATAAAGAAAATTTAATTCTGGCAATTTTTCAATGAAAGTTTTGTTTTTTGTTCTTATTTAATATACAGTTTGCTATCCAAGAATTTAAAGTGGAAGTGGCAATAAATTTTTTTCAGTCTATTATTGACTTTTCAATGAATTTCTGTTTCCTTGTTATAACATCTCATTTTCTGCCTTTATTAACACAATGTTTCACCTCCTCCTAAGATTGTAAGCTCCTTATAGATGAGAGTCTGGTCAAAGTCATTTTCTGTTTGTGCATGTTCCCAGGGCATCAATTAGTAATCTAATACATAGTAAATACACAAAGATATTTGATGAAAATATGTTTTATAAAAATAAGATAGATTTCTTTGTCGTTGTTGTTTTTTAGGCAAAGCATTGGCATATTGACAACTGTCTTTCTCCTCCTAAAAGAGATACTAATTTAWTGGAAAGTGAAACTCAAGAGGAAAGTATGAGAGCAAAACCTTTGTTTTCTAAAGAGGAATCATATTTAGACCCAACAGAATATTCTCTACTTAACAAGAAAAACAAAGATCACTCAACATACAAGTAAGAAATTTTAAGCATTACGCAGATGTCAACTAGAGAACAGAAAACATACAGTTGGCCTAAAGTTCCTTCCATGTTCTGTGGCTGTCCATTGACCACCCCACCTCTAGATTTCTCTAAAATTTGGGGGATTAATAGGTGGGAGGGGGTTTATGTTCTCAGGGCTATGTTTGGTTAGTTCTTGCCTTCATTGTACTTTTTTTTTTTTTTTTTTTTTTTTTTTTGGTACCAGAGATTGAACTCAGGAGCACTTGAACCACATCCCCAGCCGTATTTTGTTTTTTATTTAGAGATAGGGTCTCACTGAGTTGCTTAGCTCCTCACCATTACTGAGGCTGGCTTTGAACTTGCCACCCTCCTGTCTCAGCCTCCTGAGCTGCTGGGATTACAGACATTTGTCACGCATCCAGCTCCATTGTACTCTTGATTTATATTCAGTGTCTCTAGTCCTTTTATTTCTACTCCATCATCAACCTAATTGTGGAAAGTAGTCCCTTTTCTCAAACACAATGTCTACCTCTATATCTAACTCCCAGCCCCCGCTCTCTCTCTCTCTCCTTCTGTCTCTCATCAGTCTATCCATTGTCTCAGAGCAAGTGTTACTCCTGGTTTTGGTAAAGTGCACAGGGGTTTATATAAAAGAAGTTCTAAGAGTTTTACTGAATGTTAGACATCTCCCTCCTTACAGATTCTGGCCTTTCTACCTTGCTCAGACATTTTTCCTCTTCACATTGCTCTGCAAGGTTCCATTCTTACCTTTCATTCACTCTCTAATGCCAGGCAACTTCAGTATTATTTTTTTTGTTTCCTGTATTCTTGTTAACTCATGCTCTCATAATTTCACCTTCAATACTAAACAATTGACTTATTTTGAGAGGATAATTTAAAAATATATTTTTTGTAGTGTAAATGGACAGAATGTCTTTATTTGTTTATTTTTATGTGGTGCTGAGGATCAAACCCAGTGCCTCACACATGCTAGGCAAATGCTCTGCCACTGAGCTGCAGCCCCAACCTGAGAGGATGATTTTATTTATTCAGTTTTCTTCTAGAAAGTTGGAATTTTTACCATGTGCATATGTTGCATTATACTTTTTTTAGGTTTACAGAACAAAAAGTTAAGAAATACCCCCCCACATACACACATAATGTCTTGTACTAGAATGGTATATTTGTTAAAATTGATGAATAAATACTGATATTGCACATTAAAATCCATTGTTTACACCAGGGCTCACTGTTTGTTTTGTACAGTTTTAAAAATGGTTTGTGTTACACTTACCCATCCCTCCTAACATCATCTAATCATTGATATTTCATTATCTTCTTTACCTATTTCAAAGTGTTATATAGTTGGAGTCATAGTATATAGCATTTTTAGGTTAACTTCTTTCACTTAGTAATATGCATTTATGACTTCTCAAAATTCCCTCATAACTCAATACAATAGTTTATTTCCTTTTATCACTGAATAAAGTTTAATCATATGGATGTTCCATAATTTATTGATTTACTATTGACAGGCATCTTAATTGCTTCTACATTTTGGCAATCAGTTCACTGTATTTACATATTTTGGGGCTCTCTATTCTGTTACAATAATCTAGTTTTTAAAAAATACTACACTGTTTTGATTACTGTACATTTACAGTAAGTCTTGAAGTGAAGTGGGTATTTGTTAATCCTCCTACTTTGTTCTTCTTTAATATTTCTCTTCCTATTCTGGATCTTTTATGTTTTCATATAAAGTTTAGTCAATTGTTGATAACTCAAAGTAATTTCTAGAATTACCATTAAGGTTATGTTGAATCTATAAATCTGGTGGGGAAAATGACAATATTAAATTTTTCTTCTCATATATATCTCTACATTTATGCAAGTGTTCTTTGATTTTGTTCATTAGAGTATTTTGTAATTTTCCTAACAAAGATGTTATTGTATGTGTCTTATATGTATTATAACTAAATATTTCAATTTTGGTGCCAATGCAAATGATCTGTTTTAAATGTCATATTTTAATTGTTTATGGCTAGCATTTTAGAAAGAAATTTATTTTTTGTGTCTGTTAACTTTGTTTCCTAAATTCTTGCTAGATTTTGAGTTCTAATAGTTTTTTTTTTTTTACTTTTTGGGATTTCCTATGTAGACAATTATGCCATTTTCCTTTTCTTTTCTTTCTTCTTCTTCTTTTTTTTTTGGTTACTGGGGATTGAACCCAGGAGTGCTTAACTATTGAGCCACATTCCCAGCCCAATTATGTCATGTTCAAGAAAAGATAGTTTTATATTTTTTAAATTGATTTAAAAAATATATGACAGCAGAATGCATTGCAATTCTTATTACATATATAGAGCACAATTTTTCRTATCTCTGGTTGTATATAAAGTATGTTCACACCAATTCGTGTCTTCATACATGTACTTTGGATAATGATGTCCATCACATTCCACCATCCTTGTTAACCTCCTGCCCCCTCACTTCCCCTCCCACCCCTCTGTCCTATCTAGAGTTCGTCTGTTCCTCCCATACTCCCCCTCCCTACCCAACTATGAATCAGTCACCTTATATTAAAGAAAACATTCGGCATTTGTGTTTTTGGGATTGGCTAACTTCACTTATCATTATCTTCTCCAATACTATCCATTTACCTGCAAATGCTACGATTTTATTCTCTTTTACTGTTGAGTAATATTCCATTGTGTATATATGCCACATTTTTTTTAATGCATTCATCTTCTGAAGGGCATCTAGGTTGGTTCCACAGTTTAGCTATTGTCCATAGTGCTGCTATAAACATTGATGTGGCTGTGTACCAGTAGTATACTGTTTTTAAGTTTTTTGGTTATAGACGGAGGAAAGGGATAACTGGGTTGTACGGTGGTTCTATTCCCAGTTTTCCAAGGAATCTCCATATCTCTCACCATGCACAAAACTCAACTCAAAGTAGATCAAGGACCTAGGAATTAAGTCAGAGACTCTGCATCTAATAGAAGAAAAAGTAGGCTCTAATCTTTATCATGTGGGATTAGGCCCCAACTTCCTTAATAAAACCAATTCTTGGTTTTAATCAATAAATGGGATGGATTAAAACTAAACAGCTTCTTCTCAGCAAAAGAAACAATTAATGAGGTGGATAGAGAGCCTATATCTTGGGAGCAAATTTTTACCCCTCACAATCAGATAGAGCACTAATATCTAGGGTATAAAGAACTCAAAAAGCCAAGCCCCCCTAAAACAAATAACCCCATAAATAGATGGGCCAAAAACCTGAACAGAGAATTCTCAGAAGAGGATATACAGTCAATCAACAAATATATGGAAAAATGTTCATCATCTCTAGCAATCAGAGAAATGTAAATCCAAACTACTCTAAGATATCATCTCACTCCAGTCAGACTGGCAGCTATTATGAAGACAAACAACAATAAGCTTTGGCGAAGATGTGGGGAAAAAGGTACACTCATACATTGCTGGTGGGACTGCAAATTGGTGCAACCAGTTTTATCTCTTTTTTCCAACATATATAACTCTTATTTTCTTTTCTTGTTTTATTGCATTAGCTAGGAGTTCCAATATGATGTTGAGTCAGCATGGTGAGAAGGAGCATTATTTTTTCTTCTTGGTCTTGGTCTTAGGGGGAAACCATGTAGTTTCTCTTTATTACATATGATAGATGAATGTTTTTTGTAGATGGTTTTTATCAAGGTGAGGAAGTTTCCTTCTTTTCTGTTTGCTGATAGTTATAATGAATGGGTATAGGATTTTGTCAAATGTTTTTTTTCTGATCATATGATTTTTCTTCTGAAGCCTTTAATGTGATTTTGATTTTGAGAGGATGATTTTATTTATTCTAGTTTCTTCTACACAACTGGAATTATATCAATTGATTTTCAAATGGAGAACCAGCTTTGCATGCCTGAATAAATTACACTTAGATATGGTAGACAATTATTTTTATACATGGTTGGAGTTTATTGCTAATACTGCTTTGCAGATTTCTGTAATTATGTTTATGAGAAAGAATGGTCTGTATTATTTCTTTATTGAAATATCTTTGTCTGACTTTGGCATGAGAGTTATGCTAACTTTCTGGAATGAGTTACAAAATGTTCTATTTTCTGGAACACATTATATAGAATTGATATCATTTCTTCTTTAAATACTTTATGGAATTAACCAGTACAAATGTCTGAGTCTGATGCTTTCTGTTTTGAAAGGTTATTAATTATTAATTCAGAAAATAAATATTAAATGTTTAAAAATAGACACTCCCCCCAATATACATATACGATTACAAAACAGAATTYTGGTAGGGATAAATATTTGAACCTACTACACGAAGACAAACAAAAAATATTTTGGTACTTTTGATTCATTACTTATTCCAAATAAGAAAAGAAATAGGGCTTCCTCAGAACTGACAAGAAGATAGTTCTTCTATAAAATTCCCACCATATTTCAATTCAATGCGACTGTCATTTTAGAAATCTTGACCAAGTRGAACACCATTGCAGAAACTGTCTTTTCTCTGTTGTTCGCTGGTCACAGTTTCCCATTCACTGAGGCTATAAAAGGAGGATGAAAGAGAAGGAGGATGTTGGCATTGCTGCTCTCCCTACATGGCAGATGCACAAAGCTGATTCTTCCTTCTCCTTCTCACCCCAGGATCCAGTTGAGGGTTCTTTGATGATCCCACTCAGGACCTCTGTATTGCACATTTCCAAACGAATGCACTCTTTGGCTCTCTCTCTCCTGTGTCCATCACAGTTTATTTATTTTTAATTTTAACCCCCTCATACTCCCAGGCTTTCCCTTGTACACAATTCCTCTTGGGTTCACTTCTGCTTGGCTCCTAGGAAACTCCTACATCCTCACTATGTCAACCTTTCCACCCACTATATCTGTTCCTTACCCAATTGAGACACAACTTTTTACCTGTAGACTTTTTAGGTATGAATGAGAACCCAATCCACCATGTCCCTCTCTTGGTTATCCAGAGG